CATGATGCTATGTGGCCCAGTGGATACAGCACCAGGCCTGGAGTCAGGAAGTCCTGAGTTCAAATTTGACTTCAGATACTTAGCTGTGTGACCCTGGGCAAGTCACTTAACCTCTGTTTGCCTCAGTTTCCTCATCTGTAAAAAGGGCATGATAATAGCACCTGTCTCTTAACAGTTGTTTGGAGTCAAAAGATATAATATTTGCAAAGTGCTTAGCATTGTGCCAGTCACATAGTAGGCACTATAAAAATGTTAACTATCATTAGCTATTATTATTCAAGGCTGGCTCTGTATCAGTGGCATGCTGGAGCCTGCTCAAATGCCAGAGCCTGATTATTAAATGTTTAGTGTGAGCATTTACACATCAGAAATCAGCAAATGCTACAAATCAGCACTCGATTTATTGTTTAGTTGATTTCTAGACTTCAGGAAGCCATAGAGAAGATATTAATAATGTAAATTAAATTTAAAAGTGTAACACTCGTACTTCCCCCCCTCCTGAAGAGTCAGCTGTTCAACATTTATCAGAATACCTCTGTGTTATCCATCATACTATATTGCCTCACTGAAGGCATAGTGGAATGCAAACAGAGTGTTATGCCAGTCCAACATGGGGGCAGGAAAGACTTCCTGAGGGAAATGGCATTTGAGCTGGCATATTTCAATAATTTAAAAAGTATAGGCAAAGGAAGGCGTGAGACAAGTTAAGGACAAAGAGTCTGGTTTGGAAGGGACATAGTATAAAAGGTCAAGAGTTCTAAATAACAAATCATCTGGGGACAATTGTTTGTGTTTTGTTTTGTTTTGTTTTGTTTTGTTTTGTTTTGTTTTGTTTTGTTTTTTAAGTTTGAATCACCCAAGGTGAATCACCACAAGCCAACAAACTGCTTGGGTCCATATAATAAAGAGAGAAGAGGAGACATGGCTTCGAGCGTGTGGCATTTCTGGCCATCATTCATCTGAAATGTTGCTGTGCTGCTAGTCAAGATTATGATAACTCCATTCCAGAAATGCACCACTCCGTTGACTTGACGCTCCTCTGGCTTCCCTGCCACTGTCATGTGCCAGTTCTTTATCTTGAAGCCTCAATCCTGTGCTGGAATGCACACACTCTGGAATCCTCTTCCCCAGCCACTCCCTCTGATTGGAAGGTTCCTCTCAGAGCTTTAATTTAAGGAGGGCAACTAAGCTAGCCATTATCTCATTCCTTTCCAGGCTGAATTCTAGACTTTCTCTACTATGCCCCTTGACTATTTATCCCTCACCCCATTTTCCAGCTTCCTTTTATGTATTATCTTCCCCATTAGAATCTAAGCTCCTTGAAGGTGGGGACTATCTTTGTTTTTACTTAGAACTGTATACCTAAACTTAGCAAAATGTGCTAAGGCACATAATAAGTGCTTAATAAATAGTAGTTGACTGCCTGCCTGTGAAGTTCACATTTCCAAAGTGCGCCAGGGCCCCATGAGCCTGAGGAGCAAAAGTTTCTTCCCCGGGGCCAGGCATATCACAGGGCACAGGTCTCAGCTCCTAAGCCTGGATCCCTCTCTGGCATGAGGGGTCTTTCAGTATTCTTTGCCAAGAGAGTGAGTGAAAAAAGTCATCAGGTTTGTACAGGAGCAAGAGCAGCGTCATCTGCATTTCACAGTCCTCTCTCCAGGGATCCCCACTCCCCCAGATCACTGACACCTCTTTTAAAACTGAGACATGGCACTCCAGAGGTAGCATTGTACCAACCAGATGAGAGGAAGAGTGTCTATCTTCAGGTCTGGTAGATAGAAAGAGATAGAAATTTAGGCATAGTTAGCCCCCAGGAAAAGCAGAAGAATCAATTAGGTTGGTTACTCTACAAATCAGTTAATCAACAAGCATTTAATAAATACTTATTATTTACTAGGCACTGTGCTAGGTGCTGGGTATACAGCAAAAAAGCAAAAAAAAAAAAAATTCCCTCCCCTCAGAAAGCTAACAGTTCATCCAGACAAGACAATATGCACATGTGTAGGTATATAAAAAATAAATTATTGTTGTTCAGTCATCTCAGGTGTTTGACTGTCCGTGACCCTATTTGGAGTTTTCTTGGCAAAGATACTGGAGTGGTTTGCCATTTCCTTCTCCAGCTCATTTTACAGATGAGGAAACTGAGGCAAACAGGGTTAAGTGACTTGTTCAGTGTTACACAAAATACATACAAAACCAATAAATACAAAGACACTTAAAAAGTGAGAAGAAAAGGATTTGACAGTGTTTTCCCTGGGTTGCAGTAATTCAAGTCCTTCAATCCCTTTCCTGCCCTTATTTAGAGGCATCTAGGTGGTACTCTTCCTGTCCACTTTGTATAGAGCCCTGGGCTTGGAGTTAGGAAGCCCAGAGTTCAAATCTAACCTCATACACTTACTAGCTGTGTGACCCTGAGCTGGTCATTTTACCTCATTTTTGCCAAGTGTAAAATGAAGATAGTAATAGCATTTAACTCCCAGGGTGGTTGCGAGGATAAAATAAAATATTTGTCACGTGCTCAGCACCATGCTTAGCTCATAGTTGTGTTTAATCCTTCGTTCCTTCATTCTTTCCTTCCCACTCATCAGCAACCCACAATACCTACTATTATCCAGGGCATCCTGAAGGGACTGTGCTTTTAGAGGTTATAACAGGTAGCTGTCTAAGTAAAAGTACAGTAACATTATGGTGGTATTTCATATTACAGGGTTTTTTTCCCGTTATGTTGCTCAGATTCAGGGGAAGATGTAAAAACCGAGATTCAATGTCATATGCAGAGCTTATCTGTCTGCCTCAGCCCCAATACCCTAGTGTCACACTGAATTAGCTGAGCTATATTAACCATCACATAGAGATCAGTGACCTTGAAGTCCATAAGGCTATATTGGCATGTTGTGTGCCTTATTTAATGCTTGGTAGGTTTTTAGAGAGGCTGAGGGTTTTTTGTATTTTTTTTTAATCTAGTCAAAGAGGCAGCTGGAGGAAAAAAAAATGGGACAGATAAAAGTATTGTCATTGACTGTGACATGTTCATCCTTTTTACCATTCCTTGGGGCCATCTAGATGCAAGGAAGACTGGGCTACACATGACTGATAGCTCCTATTTTAGTAGTTTTGAAAGACAGACTTAGAAATGAGTCTGTTTGCCCTGTGTGACTATTAAATTGATTTGGTGGGTTCTGAGGGGGAAACCACTGGTGTTTTCTATTTTCTATTCCCTTTTTCCACAGTTCTTCTGCAGGGCCCAATGAAAATAATGGCCGGATGGTTAAATACCTAGCAGAATGGTCTTGGGAACAGAGATGCCCAAAGTGGCCTAAGAGGGGGAGGTAGCACAAATATACACAGTTTGGTTGCATCTGTATGGGTTACTCAACAAGACAATCATTTGTGAAGATGAGACATAAAGATGAAAGACAAAGGAGATATTTGAGCATATTCAATGTAATATTCAATTATGATTTAATTATGTTACTCATCTCTTGAGATGTCTTGAATTTCAGGTTTATATTTTATGCTATAGAATTAAGTAATTAAGGCAATTCTTATATTCCTATGACAGGTAAGGAAATATAATTATTCACTAGCAGATATCATTTAGACTTGGGAAGTGTTATTATTTTTTTTAACACTTTAATGGTAGATTGCCCACATCTTAGGAAGTTTTAAGAATGAATACCTCCTAATCCTAAATTCTGGATGGATAGCAAATTATGACCAAAATGTTTATCATAATATGTGTATGTCTATTCTGTTTGTGTTTACGAAGGTTTAGAGCAGAGCTTTTTACCCTGGAGTCTATGAATAGATTTAAGGGTAGTCTATGAACCTGGATATGAAAAAATGACGTCTTCATTTCAATATAATTGGTTTCCTTTGCGATCCTATGTATTTTATTTTATTCATTTAAAATGGAGGTCCATGACACAAACTAAGATTAAGACCCCTTGTTTTAGAAGTACTATGTCACGGTGGAAAAAGCACCAACTCTTCAATCAGACAGCCTGATGAGTTGATTTCATCCCTAATGCTTTCAATGGTTACCTGGAACTAAGGCTTTTTGTCATTTGCAAAATCAAAGGGTTGGACTAGATGACCCTTGAGGTCCCGGGATGTCATAAATCAGCACTTTTCATTATTACATTTTATCATCATCATTGGGGCAGCTAGGTGGCGAAATGGATAGAGCACCGGCCCTGGATTCAGGAGGACCTGAGTTCACGTCCAGCCTCAGACACCTAACACCCATTAGCTGTGAGACTCTGGGCAAGTCACTTAACCCCAATTGCCTCGCCAAAATAAATAAATAAATATAATCATCATCATCATCATCATCATTATTATTATTTAATATTAACTAATGTACCAAATCACAGTCACAGCCTTAATTACAGTGTGATAAATATTCATTTTCAGTGCTGGAATACACATGCCTGTGATTAAACGAAAAGCAACTTAGGTTGTCTAGGATTTGTGTTTAAACCAACAGATTCCCTTCTGTCTTGGGAGGTTTAGAGATTGGTGGCCTGTCTTTTCTGTTTTTCTTTGTCTCAGCAGTTAACAAATCCCTGCCACAGTCCTCTACCTCAGGAGATATATTCTGAAACAGGGGCTCTTAATCCAGGTTCTGAGAACTATGGATAGATTTCAGGGAGTCCATGAACATGATGGATCAGGAAAAAAAAAGTTTTCTTCATTTCAATATAATTTGGTTTCTCTTGTAACTCTATGTACGGCATTTAAAATTATTCTGAAAAGGTGACCAGGATATAAAACAGGTTAAGAAAACTCCTGTTCTAAAACTCTGAAAATCTGCTCCATTAAATTTCTAGCTATTCTGAAAACGGGCTTAATGCAAAGTAATTGCGAATCAAAGTAGGTACCATAGGTTCCCTTAGTCCTCGCAGAAGCTGGGCTAATTGCTTTGGCCTGGTGTCACTCGTCACTGAGCAAAGCTCCTTACCGCCCCACCCCCTCCTTTGGAATAGTATTTCACTTACGCTCCATCAATTTGATTCTGAAGTAAGCAATGAGAAGGAACAGCAGCAGAGTCACGGGCAGAAAGATGCCAGACAACAGGAACCAGCCTGGGAGCTCTGTCATAAAAGCTGCCACCGGAGACCTCATCGCCAGGGGCATCAGCCTCTACAAGCCAGAGGAGCTGAGCCCACGATCCAGCCTGTAATGGAGAGGCCCTCAGTTTTAGGCTGGGTTTCCACTTAATGCCCTCTCTGGCCTTTGCTTTGTGGATTCCATTGGAGCCCTCAGTGGACTTTACCCTGTTTGAACAGCCCCATGATTTCTAAGAGGAATGAATGGGGGTTGGGGGGAAGAAAGTTACTCTGTAACTGGACTGCAAAGTTTTAGTACTGAAACACCTTAGGATTTCCCAGTGCTGAGTTCTTTATCTGATGAGAGTGAAGATGAATAGCAGAGGAAGATTAGGGTAGAGGTGTGGGGAGGTAGGAGGCAGAGATTGTCACAGGCAGCCAGGGGTTCCTTTGTATTGTTAATCTACGCAAAAAAGAGTTACCTGCCTCTATTTACCAGTTTTCAGGGGTAGAAAGGTTTTTCCCCTTCTCCTTTACAAATTTCAGGAATAAAATTACATAAAGGGCCCATATTTTTAACCTAAACCTGTCATAGGAAAAATAAGTTCTACTCATAGACATTCAAAATTTAAATCAAGATATGATTAATCCAAGAGAATAGGGATAAACCCAGTAATACTTAAGTATGTCTATCTCTTTCTCTATATGTGTATATAAGTATATGTATATATGTATGTGTGTGTATATATATATATATATATATAAAATAAACATGTATATAACATATTTTCCTATAATCAGGGACTATCTTGTCTTTATTTTCTTCTCTGAACCTGCCCCAGTCAGGTAAATTATGAATTTTTAATGTCTAACATTCATTTTAAAAAATTTTGAGTTCCAAATTCTCTCCCTTCCTCCAGCCTCTTATTCACCCGCTGAGAAGGTAAGCACTATGATACCCATTATACATATAAAGTCATATCAATTATATTTCCATATTAGCCATGTTGCAAAAAATAAAGAAAAATAAAGAAAAAAAATTTTAAGTTTTATTTTATTTTAATTTTTTTCTTAATTTTGAGGAGTTTTTAGTGTCTGAGATATATTTCTTCTTTTCCTTATTACCTTGTGGTGGAAGTTTTAGTGAGGAATTGTGGGATTTAAGGTCAGAGGGCCTGGGTTGGAATCCCACTTCTTCCACTACCTGTATGACTTAAGGAACTTGACTTAACTTCATCTATAAAACGAGGAAGTTGGATGAATTCACCTTTGTGACAGGACTGATATCTACTGGGACTCCTTCTTCTCCCCAAAGAGGGATGAGTTTTCCCTTAAAGATACTTTTACATCATTCGATGCATCTTTCTAATCACCTAAGGACGTTAAAAAGTCCCACTCACATGGAATTAGGGTCCCTCTGACATGACTGATGTCTGAAGACCAAGGTATCACTTCACCCTACCTTGCTGACTTGACATGATAGAGATAGTTGGGTCTAGGGCAGCTAAAGTGCCACTGTATGCTGTTGCATATTCTGGCTCTGCTAGGGCTAAATAAACCTCCTTTTGTTTATTATTTAGTGCTTCTTTCAGTCCCCAGATCAAACCCAAGCTTACAGGTAACTATTGACATTCCTGTCCCTAACAATGTCTGAAGTAGCTTCTATCTCAAAGTCCTGAGTCTTTTCCTCTTATCAGTTAGCTTGGGTTGGACTTCACTCTCTATTCTACTTACTCATCTCCCGTCAACCTCAAAAGTCTAAAAGGGCACTTCACAACATATGTCATAACAAGCCTCAAATAGATAAGTCCCTAAATGTAAAAGGTCAAATTATTTTTAAAATAGAGCCAAAGGAAAGAAATAACTTTCAGAAGTACTGAATGAGTAGATATCTACTCATTTGGATTTGCTCCAAATGCTGACTTTTCCACATATCCATCTGTAGAAAAAGCTAAGAAGCTTATAATATAGTTTGTGAGACCTGTAAAGCACATCAAAAGTTAACAATTTTCTTTCTAATTTCTTTTATCATTGATAGAATTTATAACCAAACAAGGGGTAGAAGCCATTTTAAAAAGACAATATTTGTGTCTAATGGTAGCCATCTCTAGGGCGTGTGACTGGAGGTGGATGAGGGAGGAGTGTGGGGGGAGTGGTTAGGGAGGAGAAGAGGGTGGGGCTGGGTGGGAGGAAGAGAAAAAAAAGAAACTTACATAATAACTTTATTATATATTTAAAAGGAATAGCAAGTTGTCCATAATAGATTTCTAGTTTCATGTGCAATTTTCATCTTTTTTAAAAATTATACTATGTAATGGAAATCCTTGTTTTATTCCATAAATTAAAAATAAAATGAAATAATTTTTAAAAGACAATAGACGGTTTGATTACATGAAATTAAAAAGATTTTGAATGAACACAATCAATGCAGTTTGAATTAGAAAAGGGACTATCAGATGGGAAGGGGAAATCTGCATCAAATGATTGACCAAAATCTAATATCAAAAATATATGATGAGTTGACACAAATATGTGACTAAGAGTCATTCCCCATTAAATAAATGGTTAATGGATGAAGATAAAAATTTCTTACAAGAAATTCAAACTATCAACAACTACATAAAAAGAATTCTCCAAATTACTAATAGATGTATATTAAGACTTACTATTGGGGACAGCTAGGTGGAGTGGATAGAGCACCGGTCCTGGAGTCAGGAGGACCTGAGTTCAAATTCGACCTCAGACACATAACACTTAATAGCTGTGTGATTCTGGGCAAGTCACTTAACCCCAACTGCCTTGGTGGAGGTGCCGGGAGGAGACTTACCACATTTTAGGCAGTGTACTAAGGGCTGGGGATACAAATATGGGCAAGCAAGGTCATTCCTGACCTCAAGGAGCTTCCATTTTTATGAGAGAGGACAGCAAATGCTAAATAAATGAATTTGAGATTTCTCCTTATGGAGAGTCAGGAAACCACAGTCAAAAAGGATACCGAAACCATGATGCCAAGATGATAAGTGATTCTAAATATTAATTGTTGGAGGAGCAGTGGAAAGACGTGTGACAATACTTATTGTTCTTTTCACTGGCTGTCTCCTGTACTTAGAATTCTCACTCCCTACATCTCTGTTTCCTGCACTCCTTGACTTCTTTCAAGTCCCACCTCCTATAAAAAACTTTTCCAAATCCGTCTCAATTTTAGTGCTTTTCCTTTGTGGATTGCCTCCTATTTATCCTGTATATAGCTTGTTTGTTCATAGTTGTTTACATGTTGACTCTTCTATTAGATTGTGAGCTCCTTGAGAGATTTTCGTTCGCCTATTTTTGTTTCTGAGGTGTCTAGCACAGTGCTTGGCACGCAGGTGGATAACAATATTTGGTGAACTGGATTGGCTTGAATTCTACCCAATAACCTGTCTCCTTTCCAGTCACACAGCCATCCTCCAGATTCAGGTCCTCTTTTCTAGGAACTTGCCTGGAAGTTCACGTGAGCATTACTTCCATGCAGATTTTTCCTAAAATCCTGGTCTCTGTCACACCCTACATACCCCATTCAGTAAACTCCAGTGGCAAGCTCTTGCTGGCCTTTCTATTGCCTGTCTCTTTCCTTTTCTAGTCATCCCTTCATATGGCTGCCAAAATAGTCTTCCTAAATACATAGGTCTGGCCATGTCACTCTCCTGTTCAAAAATCTTTAGTCCCCCTCTACCTTGAGGATAAACTGCAAACTCCTTAGCCCATTCTAAAAGGATCTCCATAATTTGGCTCTAGTTTCTTTTTTGATTTTTTTTCATATAATTCCCCTTAAGAACAGGCTCTATGTTCCAGTTATCCTCCATGTGTTCAGTAAGCTGTCCTCCATGACAGGAATGAATTCCCTCCCAATCTCCAGCTGCTGAAACCTTCATTTTCCTTCATGGCCAAGCTCAGATGTCACTTTCTCTATTAAAACCTTCCTGATTCCCTTCTCTGAGAGTGATGAGACTAGACAAGTGACAAGCTCCATCAGTAGCATTCAGAATTATCCAGTCAGTTAATTGATATCCCCAAGCTGCAGCAACTTACTCCCATCTGTATAATCTGGACCCCACTTCCCACAATGTCACTCAACTCAGATCCATTCTCTGGAAAGCTTGGCTGGCACTCTTGTGCAGTGAACCAAGTAGGCAGTTACCATGTCTCAGGAGTAGCATCTTAAATTCAGAACACCCAATTTAACACAGCAAAGGAGGAAGTCAGCCTTTATTGAACTTGTTGCGATCTGGAAGGCATATTTTTTTCTTTTGGATTTTGTCACATTGAGTGGCATGGCGATTAATACTCTTGGGTGTATTTCTGAGAAAGCAAGAGCTCTGGAGCTTGTTCAGTCTCAATCAGATATTGATGTTTAAGGTGCCAGTCTCCTTGGTACACATCTGAGCAGGTGATAGGACTAGGGAGATGAATGGAATTTCCATCTTCTGGGAGGAGAATGCATCTTATGTTCTTTCTTGTAGCTAAGGAATTTTGAGGATCCTGGAGCTTATTGGAAAGGTTCTGTCTTGAGAGTTCACTCAAGTGTTTTCTTATTTAGGACAAATATTTTATCATTGGGTCCTCTGTAAGTAGAACTATTAGGGGACTCTTGGGTTAGCCATAAACCAGAAGTTCTAGGACATGTATACTTTAATAAATCTGTTAAAGCCTTGGATCCCAATCCTTTCAGATTTCTGTAGATCAGTTGTTCTCAAAGCATAGTCCAGGAACCCCTGATTGTATTATTTAATCCATTTCTTCCACAAGAATAGCATGAGATACTTTGTCAAAAGCTTCACTAAAATCTAGGTAAACTATTATCACAACATTCTCCTAGGCTATTAGTTTAGAAACCTTATAAAAAAAAACGAGGTTAGTCCAGCATGACTCGTTCTTGATAAAGTCCTGCTGACTCTTTGAAATCACTGCTCTCTATCTAGATGGTCACCAATCATCTCTTTTGGCCAATCATGGCCAATAGTTCATAGACTCTGTTGGTTTTCTGATAAAGTGATCTTTGAAAATGCACATTTGACCATATCATCTTTTCACCCCCACTCAATAAATTCTAATGGCTATCTATCACCTCCAGGATCAAATATAAAACCATTTGCCTGATG